ACTAAGAAAGAGAATTACAGGCCAATCTCCCTAATGAACATTGATGTAAAAGTCCTCAGTAAGATACTGGCAAACAGACTGTAGAAAATCGCCAAGAAGACTGTACACCATGATCAAGTAGAATTCATCCCAGGGATGCAGGGATGGTTCAACATATGTAAACCCATAAATGTAATACATCATATTAACAGAGCCAAGAATGATGATAAAGAAAAAGCTTCTGACAAAGTTCAGCACCCATCCATGATAAAAGCCCTACAGAAAACTGGAATAGATAGTCTTTATCTCAATCTGATAAAAATCATCTCTGACAAACCAAAAGCCAACATCCTACTAAATGGACAAAAATAGAAAGCTTTCTCTCTAGTCTCCACTCCTATTCAACACAGTCCTGGAAACTTTAGCCAGGGCAAGTAGACAAGAGAAAGAAATACAAGGAATAAAGAGAGAAAAACAATAATAAATTATCATTATTTGCAGATGACAGAATACTCTACTTAGAAGACCCCAAATACTCCACCAAAAGACTTCTAGATTTAATAAGCAAATTTATTAATGAAGCTGGTTATAAAGTCAGTGCTCAAAAATCAACAGTCTTCTTGTGCACAAATAACAAACCTACTGAGAGGGAAATCAGGGAAACAATACCCTTTATAATAGCACCCCAAAAATAAAAAAGAAATACCTAGGAATCAATCTAATGTGAGATGTAAAGTAAAAGACTTCTACACTGACAACTATAGTACTCTGAAAGAGGAGACTGATGAGGCCACTAGAAAATGAAGAGATAGCCCATGCTATTGGGTAGGAAGAATCAATACAGTGAAAATGGTCATACTTCCAAAACTGTTATACAGATTCAGTGCAATTCCAATCAAAATTTCAATAGCATATCTTGCTTTTTTGTCTTTTTTATTTTTTTATTGGTACCAGGGATCGAACTCATGACTGCCTGCTTGCAAGGCAGGCGCTTATGCCGCTGAGCTAAATCCCCAGCCCCTTCAATAGCATATCTTACAGAATTAGAGAAAACAATCCTAAAATTCATCTGGAATCAGAAGAGATGTTAGGATAGCAAAGGCGATCCTGGGCAACAAAGACAAGACAGGAAGCACCACAATCCCTGACTTGAAATTCCACTTTAAAGCTACTGTGATAAAAACAGTGGTACTGGCGGGGGGGGGGGGACCAAACCTGAAGATCAATGGAATAGATTAGAAGATGCAGAAATAACTGCAGACATACTAAGCTACCTTATCTTTGATAAAGTTGTCAAACACATTCACTGGAGACAGGACACTCTCTTTAACAAATGGTGTTAGAAAAACTGGCTTTACGTGCTGAAAACTGATTAAAAACATGATTAGAACTGGAGCCGTATTTTTATCTTTAAGCTAAAATCAGAATGGATTAAAGATCTTAATATTAAAACAGAAACATTAAATTTGCTGGAAGGATAGAGTAGGTAAAATTCTTTAAGACACTGGTATAGGCAAAGACTTTATGATTGCACAGGATTGTGTACAGATTGCATAAGACTTACCGTAAAGCATCAACAAATGGGATCTCATCCTACTGAAAAGCTTTTGCACAGCAAGAGAAATCACCAACAGAGTAAGAGACAATCCACTACGTGGGAGATAATGTTTGCCAGCTGTTCCTCAGGTAAAGGATTGTTATTGAGAACATATGAAGAACTCAAAAAAATCAGTGCTCCCAGATTTAAAAGACCAAATCCAAAAATGAGCATCACAGATGAACACATACTTCTCAGATGAAGAAGTATATATGCAAAAGTGTTCACCAAGACTGGTCATTTGAGAGATGCAAATTAAAACACTGAGATTCTACCTCATCCCAGAAAGAATGGCTAGTATTAAGACATCAACCAATAACAAATACTGGAGGGGCTGTGGGGAAAAGGAACCCTTCTCTATTGTTGGTTGGAGTGCAGACTGCTGCAACTACTGTAGAAATCAGTGTGATGATTTCTCAAAAAACTAGGACTGGAGGTCTCATTCCACCTAGCCATTTCCCTTTTGGATATCTTCCCAAAAGAATTAAAAACAATACCACAGCGATATATGTGCATCCATGTTTATAGCAGCACAGTCTGTAACAGCCAGATATCGGAAACAACTTAAATGCCCATCGACTGACGAATGGATAAGAAAGATGTGTAGTATTTCTATATAATCTAATACTATTCAGCCATGAAGAATGATAAACTGGACCCCCTTCCTTTTTGGTACTGGGGATCAAACTCACAACTTTACACTCTCCAGGCAGGCACTTATACCACTGAGCTAAAACCCTGGCCCTAAACTTGACATTTTTATAGGTAAATGGATGCACTCTGAGAATATACTTACTAGTGAAATGAATGTCACACATGTACAAACATCATATTGTTTCATTATGAAACAAATAATGTAATTTCTCCCTAGAAAATGACTTCAGCCAATCAATGACTCAGGCCACACCTACTCTTAACTAACCCACTGTGAGCCATTTTGCGTTGACTTTCGGGTGTCTTAAGAAATTTTTGATGTGCTATGAGGTTTGGACTTTTTGCATGTGGATATCCAGTTGTTCCAGTATATTTATTGAGGGTACAATCCTTTCTCCACTTAACTGCTTTTGCATCTTTGCCAGAAATCATTTGTCTGTTCTGTATCTATTTTAGGACTTTATATTGGTATTTGGTGGTTTGTGTATCTTGATATCAATGCCATTCTGTCATGATTAGTATAACTTTGTGATAAGTTGTGGAACTGGGGAGGGTTGGAGCTCAAATTTTGTTTCTTTATCCAAACTGTTTAGACTATTCTGAGTCTTTTATTTTTACAAAAATGTAAGAATCAAAATGTTAATCTTCATGAAAAAAGACGTGGGCAGTTTCATAAGGGACTGCGTTTTTTGATCTTTATTATTTTATTTGTTTTTGATTTTGTCTTTTTAATTTCTCAAGGAAAGATACAAGGATATTTCATAACTTTTTTCTTTTGTAATAAATGTACTTAAAAAAGATAGGAACACTTTTGAAAACAAATTAAACAAGAGAACATGAAAAATAAATTTGACAGCTGCAAGATGATGCAAAGAAGACTAATTTGAGATTAACTGAAGTAAAAAATAAAAAGACAGCATAAAGGGGGAAAAAGTTCTGTTTACAGAAATAGCAAAAAACTTTCCAAATACTGGGGAAGAATTACACATTCACATAAGTGAGGCACATACAACCCCAAACAACCATGATCAAAAGAGAACCTCTCCACATAGCACTATAGTCTAAATACCAGAAGTCCAATTTAGGGACAGAATCTTAAAGGCTGTTGAGAACAATGAATCACCCACAAGTGTAAACCTATTCAAGTTATAGCAGATGTCACAAAAACCTTAAAAGGTCAAGAGTGTTGGAGTGAAGTGTGTCATGCTAAAAATGATCAGAAGAGGCACAGAAAGTCACTACAGGTCACTATATACTAGTTAAGGGAACAATTCAACAGGAAGATATAGTAATTATAAACATATGCAACAAACATTGCTGTCACCAACTTTATAAAACAAACAGCACAAAACATTAAAAGTCAGATAAGTATCAAAAAGACCAAAAAAATTCAGATAAAACAATTATAGTACCCCACCATCAGATTTAGGTCTACTAGACAAAAAAAAGATCAGAATGAAATCAAATCTTCCAGCAAATGGACTTAACAAATATCTAGAGAACATGTGCAATGAATTTTAGGATCACTAATCCTGAGAAAATGCAAATTAAAACCGTAATGAGGTAGCAGCTCTCATTTCTGTCAATTGATATTAAAATAACTAAAAATATGTACTGGTGAGGATGAAGAAAAGGGAACCCTTGTAACAATATTGGTAGAAATATAAACTAGTACATTCTAGAAAACAGCGTGAAAGTTCCTAAAAAAAATTAAAAATAAAACTACTCTATGATCCAGAAATCATACTACCAGATTTATATCCAAAAGAAAAAGTATCAGTATGCTGAAAGAATCTGCACTTTATTGTTTAAAACGCATTATTCACAGTAGGGATGATACTTAACCAACTTAAGTATTCAACGGTAGATAAAAAAATCTGACACATTCTCTTTTCTTTTTCTTTCTCTCTCTTGCACACACACACAGGAATTTTATTTAGTCTGAGCAAAAAAAGAAAAAAAATGCTGTCATTTATGGTGTCAGTGACAAACTTGGAAAGCATTATGTTAGGTAAAATAAGCCAAAAAGAGAAAGACATCTACCACATCATCTCTATAGAATCTAAAAAAGTTATTCAGCAACACAGAGATTAGAATGCTGGTGGTTACCAGCAGCTTAGGGAAGAAGAGCTGAAGAGACACTACTGGTCAAAGGATATAAAATTTCAGTCAAGCAAAAGGAGTAATTTCAAAAGACCTATTGAAAATATGGAGGCTGTGATTATATAACAATGATTACAGCTGGCAGGTGGTATGGTGTGCAACTGTGATCCCACTATTCCACAGGTTGAGGCAAGAGGATTATGAGTCTGAAGCCAGCCTAATTAATCCGATGTGAAAACAAAATATTGTATTTTTCAAAATCACTAAGAATAAATCTGAAATCATCACAAAAATAAAGTATGAGAGGTAATACACAATCTCTACATATTTGAAAGTATTACACTGTCTATGACATATATAATTTGTCAATTTAAAAAATTATTTGAAAAAACAGAAGGGCAAAATATACAAAAACTCGTTTTAGAAGGATGGGGAAAAGAGAAGGTCTTGCTATACAGTTCAGGCTGGCTTTGAGCTAGCAGTCCAGGCTAGCCCATCCTCACGCCTCTGCCTCCCAAGTGCTGGGATTACAGATGTGCAGTACCATGTATAGCAAAAACCTCATATTTGTATCAGCCTTACTACAGATTCCACGCCAACTACATATAGAGCCTCTCTACTTACTTTATATGAGTAAATATTTCCTGAAATACATACTTGTTCTTACCTTTAGATTTTGGGATTAGTTCGCCACAGCTGAGTATCCGTACCTCAGCAAATGGTTTGCTAGCTGCATCTGTTTTCTGGTTTTCTATCTCTCTCACAACTTCTTGACCAGAGATCACTTGTCCAAAAACAACATGATGCCTAAAGAGTAAAGCAATGATGATTAAATAAAGGCTTCCTGCTTTGATATTAATTAAATTAAGTTATAAAATATTCAAATAAACTTTACCCATCTAAATGAGGAGTTGGTTTCGTTGTTCTTTTGGAAGTCATCAGACAGAAGAATAAAAACAAAGTCAGAGAAAAACAAAGTTAGCATCTCTAAAAAGGAAAAAAAAATAACTGCATTGGAAACAAAGTTGAAAATATAAATTATACACTACACTTAACAACAGAACCATATTATCTTAAGTAAAACAATAAAAATGTTTTCGATATGATATATTTTTTTTTAAATTTTTTTTTTCTTGTTCTCTTTTTATCAGTACCGGAGATGGAACTCACAACTGCCTGCTTGCAAGGCAGGTGCTTATGCCGCTGAGCTAAAACCCCAGCCCCTGATATGATGTATTTTTAAAAACTTATTCTGAATACAAAAGCAAAACTTACTCGTTGAAACCTTGGGTGCAAAGCTGACATTTTGGTGTTTCCATTGTCCATTTGTATTTCTTGCATATAGCTGAGTTGTTATGGAATATTCATACTTGCAAAATGTTTCGCAGTAAAAACAGAACTAAATTTATTTTTTAAATTTTTTTTTCAATCTGTAAATTCTTATGTAATAACTAAATTTATTAAACCACCCTAATAGCTAATGGGTTCAGCATCAATACTTTTCATTCTAAACCTTCTAAGCTGCAGAGAAGAAAATGGGAAGATTGGGGGAAGTAAACTGGTCATGTTCTGATGGCCCTTCACGCATATCCTGAACAGTGATACAGATAGTGTTTAAATTTTAAAATTTGCTGCCAACATTTAAAATCTTGAGGAAAAAAACACTTGGATATTTTCACCAGATATAGTAGTCTATGTTTGGAATCCCAGCAACCTAGAGGACTAAGGCAGGAATATCACACGTTCAAGATCAACAAGGACAACATAGTGAAACTCCATTTCAAACAAAAATGTAACTTTTCACATGACAGTCCAGGTTTCAGATCTCTTTGGAATGTTTACTTCGGGTAGCAGTAACATGGGAATTAACTGATAGAAGTCAGTTTTGTGTGTGCCAGGGGGTGATATCGTGTTATTGAACCCCAGGACACATAACCAATGAGCTATGCCCACAGCCCTTTCTCCTTTTTTTGTTAAAGGGTATCTCACAAAGTTGTCCACATTAGCTGTACACTTGCCTCAGCCTCATGAGTAACTGATATTACAGACATGTCTACACTGTCTCAACACAGAAATTATTGTCCCAATAGGATTATTTATGCTATATACCTTGTCTAGGCTTTGAGTTATTACTCTAACATAAAGTATATTTCATGTTGAAGACTCCCACATTAGAACTTGGGCCAAAACCTAAAACAAAAGTGCAGAGGCACATGCCTAACATCCCAGCTACTGGCTGAAGTGAGAGGACATTTGAGCCCCAGAGTTCATTCAACCAGTCTGCTAAATACAGCAAGAGCCTCTTCTCAAAACAAAACCCCAAATCTAACAAAATTTAAAATAAACATTGTTTTGACAAATGCATTTTTAGTAATTTTCCCCCATCAATCTTAAAACTATGCAAAAGAAGGTTGCTACTTGTTTATGTCCTTAAAAACAACAGATAAGACAGGTATGAGTTAAGATTTATTAGTGCTTCAAAAAGAAATCACATCAAAAAGGCATTACAGGGTGGGCATGGTAGTGCATGCCTGCAGTCCCTGCACTTGGAAGGCTGAGGCAGGAGGATCACCATGAGTTTAAGGCCAGCCTGAGATACACAGTGAGTTCAAGGCCATTGTGAACCACATTGAAACCTTGTCCCCACCCCTCCCTGCCAAAAGGCATTAAAATTTGGAAGGAATGTAACTTCATCATTTAACAAATAATAGTACTGAAGAAAATTATAGCACAGGTGTATTTTTATGTTTATTTAACTTTGAAGTTAACTCACTACAACACTACAAACTTTTCTTATAATCATCTACAACTATAAAAGCCCTGGGTGTACTAGTGGGGGTACATGCCCGTGCATGCCTCCAGCATTCTGGGAGGCTGAGACAGGAGTGTATCACAAGTTTGATGCCAAGCTGGGCAATTTAATAAGAACTTTAATAAGTTTCAAAAAAAGGGTTGGGCAGTAGCTCAGTGAGAAAGCCCTGGATCAATTGCCAGTACCAAAAACAAATACTGTACATTATTGGTAGAAATGTAAAATGGTTCAGCTGCTGTAAAAAAACAACTGGTAGTTCCTGAAAAACTTTACCATATGACCCAGAAATTTCACTCCTAGCTATATAACCTAAGAACTGAAACAGGACCCAAGTACTCCAGCATTATTCATGACTAGCTAACAGGTTGAAACAGTACCAACTGAACGGACAAACAAAAGGTCAAGTATTACTCAACCATAAAAAGGAACAACTTCCGTTATATGTTATAATAGTAAGACGCCTGGAAACCTGCTAAGTTAAATGAGCCAAACATAAAGACAACTAATTATATGATTTCACCAAATCGATTACCTGGAATAGGTAAATTGATAGTCAGAAAATAGATATAAGACTAACCAGATATGGGGAGAGAAGAGTGATAACAGAGTCTATGGAATAATGGAACAGTTGTGGAAATACAATGTATTTTTTGGTTTCCTGAGAAGGGGTCTCACTATGTAGCCCATGCCAGCCTCAAATTTGCAATCCTGCTGCTTCAGTCTCCCATGTGCTTGAATTACAGGCATGTGCCACACTTGATAGTAGTTTTTTGTTATACAGAAACACCTTATTTATTCTACAGAAAGGAGTTCTGCAGAGAGGATTTTTACTCCCTTATCTCCACTTTCTAATTCTTCTAAAACAAAGAGAAATGAAAGTATTGCTTTCATTTAAAAATACAGAAGAGTTGTTTGCATTTGAAAATATCAGTTAAGACCTATATATGACAATTAAGTAAATACTAGAGCAATTACAGGTCCCCTGATCATAATTTTTTTATAATCACAATTAGAAAAGTACTGAATTTGAAATCACAAGTAAACTTTGGTACACAGGTAAATTTACAAATATAGAATCTGTGAATGAGGACTGACTGGTTTTTACTTTGCTTTATTCATTTATTTAATGAATAATCCCTTAATGACAGGGGGTATATTCCAAGACTCCAAGTGGATGCCACGAACTACAGATAGTCATAAATCCTATATACACAAAATACTTTTTGCTGTATGTAGACATTAAGAGAAATTTTAATTTATAAATCAGACAGACATTAACAGTATAAAAATACAAAAATTATAGTAATATACTGTTGAGATAATGGCTTCTCAAAATATTTTACTGTATTCATCTTTTTTGTGACAATGTAAGGTAATAAGATGCCTACATGCTCAGAAGAAATGAAGTAAATGATGTAGAGGCATTATGATGCAGCCTTAGAGCAGCAGTAAGGGCTACTAAAACACACAAGTTTGTAATAGCTTGACAAATGAATGAAAAGCCAAGGTTACCAAGAAACTAACAGGTAGGTAGGTAGGTAGTCAATACCAGGACTAACAGAATGCACAAAGGGATGATCTACATCCTATGTATAACAGTATGCTATTTCATGAAGTCATTAGAATTTAAAACTACTTGGGCATCATGGTGCATGCTTATAATCCCAGCACTCTGGAGGCTGACGCAGGAGCTACAGGTTTGAGGCCAGCCTGGGCTACATAGTTAGTTAGCTCAAGGTCAGCCTGAACTATATTAGCAAGACTCTGCCTCAAAAACAAAAACCTAAATAAGCAGAATTTAAAACTTATGAACTGTTTATTTTTAGAATTTTCCATTTAGTATTTACCAACCATAACTGACAATGGGAAATAAATTACAAAAAGTAAACCCATATGTAAGATAGGACTATTCCAAGATTCTTACTTTGTTGATTATAATCTAATATTATTTATTTTGACGGGCAAACTGTCCTAATTTGGCCAGTAGTTGTGTCTTTAAGCTAGCTCTCATGTTTTTGTAGATGGAGTAAAGCTCCATCATTTGAAAACTTGGAACAGCACAGCTTCTCTCCTCCCTTCAGTAATTCTTTGTTCCTCCCCATTAAACACTTCCCCAATTAAGGGATCCTCTCCTATTTATTAGTGATCAATGGAGGGCACAAGGATAACAATCTTGAGGTACTTGGTCATCAGATCATAAATACTTACATGAAGAATTGTGATCCATTTGTATCTTTCCCTCTGTTGGCCATTGACAAAAGAAATTCTTTGTTGTGTTTAACGGCAAAACTCTCATCTAAAGGGATGCAACATTTCCAGTTAAACTTGAGTATCATCTCCAAAAACTCATTTTCAAATCATTTTTTTAAAATTTTTATTTATTTATCTTTTTTTTTTTTTTTGTCTTTTTCCTTTTTATCGGTACCGGGGATCGAACTCACGGCTGCCTGCTTTCAAGGCAGGTGCTTATTGCCGCTGAGCTAAACCCCCAGCTTTCAAATCATTTTTTAACAGATGTATTTTTTAGTGCAAAATGTAAGTTAGATAACATAGGTTATAAAAAACCAAATAAGTCAACTTTTTCTCCTTTTTTAAAATATTATTTAAAGCTGTCTATTCCTTGTTTGCCTACCACATTCAAGGCCTTGGGGTTAGATCCCAGAACCATACACATACACAAAGCAAGACAGAATCCAATACGATTCTTTATTTTTCACCTACTTGTGAAAGGGGAGAAGCACACATAATACTATTTAAAACTGGACTCTTTAAACTCTCTATAGGATCATACATTAGAAAGACAGAGACTTGTCTTCCAAACTAGGATTAGAATATGAGAACAAGGCATGTGAAATTTGAAACAAAATTTCACTGAATACCAAATGGGAAAGATGGAAGCCATTAGTCACACATGCACATCCTTATACAATTTCATATGAAATTCACATCACAGAAAACTTAAAATTTAAAAGAAGTGGCCAAATTTTAGAGTATCAAAAAGATTTTGTAAGACTTTTCACAGAAAACAAGTACACTGGCTGGGAGTAGTGGTACACATCTGTAATGTCAGCACTTGGAAGCCTAAGGCAAGAGGATTACTGTGAGCTGAAAGCCAGCCTGGGCTACAAAGTGAGTTCAAGGCCAGCCTGAACTACATACATAGTAAGACAGTCTCAAAACAAACAAACCACAAAAAACAAAAACAAGAACACTTAAACAATTCGAGTATTTTTATTAAGAGATATCTGTGAATCTTTTTTAATAAAGGTTCAGACACCACTATGGAAGCTCCTATGCTAGCATCACAATTCTTTTTTTATTTTTTTGTCTTTTTGATAGTCTCGATGTGCAGTTCAGACTGGCCTTGAACTCACTTTGTAGCCCAGGCCGGTGTCCAACTTGCTAAGATCCTTCTGTCTCAGTCTTCTGGATGCTGGGACTAACTACAATTCTAACACTTCAGAACACATTATTAAACTCATCTTCAAATAGTAAGATGTAGCCGGGGATTTAGCTTAGCGGCATTAGCACCTGTCTGGCACGCACAAGGTCAGTTTGTTTGATCCCCGGCACTAAAAACAAAAACAAACAATAAGATGTACTAATGGCCTAAAACCAAAATAAATCTCATCTGTATGAAAAGTATATATATAACTCTTAAAAAATGAACTAAAAAGAACTTTCATATTAGAATGTAACTGGATATTAGTATGCTATTTAGTGAATAATCCTGATTTAATAAAGGGTAATCAAATAAATAAAATACTAAGATTATAAATTAAATGTAAATATTCTTACCTTCAAAAAATCCTCCATAAATAGACTCTCCTCCTCGTCCATTTCCTAAGAATGAAAAACACAAGACTCTTAGAACTCACAAGGTACTAAACTCCTTGAAGGTCCTACCCAAACAAAACATTGCCTACAAAGTACTTCGAATGATTCTGAACCAATGATTCATAAAAATCACAGTGAACCATGTAATTTACAGGTTGTAGCACTGCCTTAGTGTGATTCTGGCTTGGGGAGGCTGAAGTACACAGATAACAACAGAGGGAATGAGTGAAACAACCGGGATGCAGCTCAGCAATGAGCACCTGTCTAGTACATATGTGGTTGTGCAATCAATTCCCAGCACTGCTCCCCTCACGAAGATATGATCTAATGTCTATAATTACAAGATCTCAATTTTTTTTTTTTTTTTGAGACAGGATCTTGCTATTTATCCCAGGCTGGCCTCAAATGTGAAGTGAGCCTCCTGTCTTAGCCTCCCAAGACAGGTATATGCACCAACCCTGGCTCTTATGATACTATGGCAATAATACAAGGCCTATTAAGCACTCATCAGCACAAGAGCTTTTGAATTGTAATGATGACTATGTCACAAGTATTTTTTTGTTTTGGGTTTTTTTTTGTCTTTTTGAGACAGGATCTAGCTATGCTGTTCAGGCTGTCCTTGAGCTCACTTTGTAGCCCAGGCTGGTCTCAAACTTGCAACGATCCTCTTGCCTCAGCCTCCCAAGTGCTGAGATTACAGGCGTGAGCCACCATGCTCAGCTTTGTCATGAGTATTTTAACAGCAATGAATGGTATTTGTTTCAAAATGTCTTTAATAAGGATAATAGTTATATAATAAAAAGGCATAGGTGAATCATATGATTATCACCTGCTCTGCATAGTTCAGATTGCATTCTGTGAGGAAACTTGAAGACTTGAAAGATAAGGCTTAAAAACCAAGTATGCTGGCACAGTATAGATTACTAGTTTTAACAAAAATCAAACATATACAGTGACCAATTTAGAGTATTTTGTATCCAGAAGCACATTCCTAAAATAAAATGTGCTTCATATAACAAAGTTTTAACTGGGCTAGGAAGCAGCTCAATGGGAGAGGGATGGGGTAACACACAGAGGATCGGGGTTAAATCCTCAAAACTACCCCTTCGAAAAGTATAATTACCTTCTTTGAGCTTTCTTCTTTCATACACTTCCAAATATATTCTAAGAGTTTGACCAAAGATTACATAGAGTGAGAACAAAACTGGAATGAGACTTTTCAAGACTTGTCTATCTTTACCATCTATAATATTTAATAAAAATATAAATATACTATTTTCCTTTGTTGACTCAGTCTCACCTTCACTGAAGTCACCACCCTGAACCATAAAATCCTTAACAACTCTGTGGAAAAGACAACTCTTGTAGTGTAATGGCTTCTGGGTTGATTTTCCTGTCCCCTTTTCTCCTGTAGAGAAAAAAATTAGTGCAGCATTCAGTAAATAAGAAATTAATACAATATGTAAAAACATAATCATGAAAGATTTTATTTTATAAAACAGACTTCCTTTTGAACATTTTTTTAAAATCAGAAACTCAAGACCTCCCGCTTGCTTGCAGTCAAGCACCGTGCCACTGAGCTGTATCTCCCCGCCTTTCTCTTTTCTTCATGTTTCTTTTGTCTTTTTGAGATAGGGTTTTGCTACACAGTTCAGACTGGTCTTGAACTCAGTTCGTAGCCCAGGCTGGCCTTGAATAGTGATCCTCCTGCTTCAGCCTCCTGAGTGCTGGGATTACAGGCATGTACCACCACGCCTGGCTAAACCTTTAAATCAAAGAATTTTCATTCTTTTTCAGAATTTTTTTGAAAATTCATTAAAAAAATCTTGAGGTTTTTCTAGAGTATCGAAAGCAATTTCAGAGGGGAAGAGGGACTGAAAGGGAGGGTAGGATAATGGAGAAAAAAGAATCAAGTTATAACATGTATAGGAACAAATTCTCTATGAAGAATATGATCACTATGTGTATGTAAAATGTACCAATAAAATCTGGGGGAAAAATCAATTTCAGCTAACATCCCCTTATAATCAATATTTCTAAGAATTATTAGGCCAGTTGAAAATTTAAACAAACCTGTACAAAGACAGCGAAAGTTCTCGCATGTTTTGGGGCACACATCAGAAAACAATTCAAAGACCACTCTCCCAGCTGTAAAAGAAAGTAATTGGTTTTAGGTTTCTTTACTAATTTAAAATACTAAATATTAATTGATGAATGTTAACTGCAGTAGTAACATTAATAGTCTTACCAGGTTGATTGTTAATGGCAATATCAAAAAAACATCGAGGACGCTGAACCTTTATTCCCATGGTTTCAATACTTCAATCTGAGAGCGAAAACAGTTCCAGGCAAACAGACTAAACCAGTAAAGATTTTTCATGCATACCTGAAAAAAAAAAAAGTCCTATAGCACATAAGCTAGAAATGTAGTTTAAATTTATATTTCCAATGAGGTAAAACATGATCACCACCTGCTTTGCAGAGATCAGATTGCATTTTGTGAGGAAAACAGAAACAATGTGAAAGATGAGGCTTAAAAACCAGGCGTGGTAGTGCATGCTTGGAATCCCAGCACTTGAGAAGCTGAGATAGGAAGATCACAAGTTTGAGGGCAGCCTGAGCTACAACAGTAAGTTCAAGGCCAACCTGGATTACATAGGGGGACTGTTTCCAAAAACAAAAAAGAACAAAATAAGAAACATGAGGCTCAGCCATTTTCATATAATCGAATTTTGTATCAGCCAAATAGAGACCATCACCCCAACCAAAATTATATTATAGTCAACATGACTAGTGAACTGAACAGGTTGATTACCTTTAAAACAAAAACACCAAGGATAATTGAGTCAAGCCAATATTTTTACTCCTAGTAAATAAAAGCAATCCTCCTGTCTCATCCTCCCAAGTGCTGGGAGTACAGATGTGCACGACTATGGCCAGGTAGCTCTACATAATTTTTTATGTGGGTTCATAGATCTACCACTATCCCTTACAAACCCCACAAATATAAGCCAGACCACTTGATAAACACAGCACTCAACAACTGGTCAGAGATGAGCAGTGATACAGCATTTTTGCAAGGCCCAGGTTAAAATCCTCAACACAGGAATGCCAAGGATGGAAGAAAAGCAAGAGAGAGAGTGACAATAATCCCCTTGCCCAAATTACCAACAATTTGAAAAATACAAATTAGATGTACTCATCCATTTGTTTAATGCTGCTTATATGAATTAAGGATTAAATTTATACAAGATTATGTTGTATTCAAAAATCAGCCCAAGTGTTGTAACATTCCCTTTTGGCATTATCACATGAAAAAAGTACCATTTTCTCATAACTTCTTCCATTTTAAATTTCTAAATGTAATGAAAAATAGAATTTTGTTTTGCACAAAACAAAGCTAGAGAGGATATCTTTTTTTTTTTTTTTTAAATCGGTACCAGGGATCAAATTCACGACCGCAAGGCAGCCCCGAAAAGATATCTTTCAATCCTCTAACATATTACACACACAAAATTACTTGAGAAAAAGCTAGCGGAAGGAAGAATTAAGATGTGTCATGCATATATAACAAGTCCTCATGAGGTAATCTTTATGGACTGCAAAAAAATTAAAATTTTTTAAAAGAAAAATTATAACATTAATATTCTGCCAGCTTGGTTACACTGCTAATATTTCAGTTGCTACCCATCTGGATGGGGATACTCTGAATCCACAAATGTGATTCAGAAAACTATCCTATTTTAAAGAAAAACATTAAATCAATACTTAGTATATCACCATCTTTTATTATCCAAATAACTGCTACAGGCTCTCTTAAAATCTCCACATTGAAGAAAGAGAAATTTTATTATTTACATTGTTTTCTTCTACACAAACTTCTACAGTTACTTAATCACAATGTCCCAAATGGAGATTTCTCTTCCTTCATATGTGTTTAGGTACAGCACTGCCAAAAACACAAAATATTTACTATCATAGTTCATTTCTTATATACTGAGTTTTTGAAAGCCTGGCAAAAGTTATTAAAAGCTGACAAAAATTATTCTTAAATACCCATATGCTTTTAAACAAAATCTTAAGAGTTACCAGTAGGTTTATTCTATTTCTTTTAGATGTATGCTGCTGATAGGTGAATTAACTAGAAAAAAAGATTGAGCGACACTTAAGAATGAGGGTACTTTTCAGAATAGTTTTATTTTAATAAAAGGTTTGCTGCTGGAAATATAGCTCAGTGGCATAAGTGGCTGCCTGGCAAGCACAGGACCAATCCCCAGTACAAAACAAAAAAACAAATAAATCACCTGAAAGGTATTCCATTTTGGGTCAGGGACTTATCTCAATGGAGAAAGTGACTGCCTGGCAAGTGTCAGGTCATGAGTTTGAACCCTGGTACTGCTCCCCGCCCAAAAAAAAGGTTTGCTTTGTTAAAAATATTAAAAATAAAACTCTTTATTCTACCTTCATGCTCTCAAGTACTCAGTAAATATTATCCCTGTCCAAACCACCATGGCTGAATACTTGAAATACAGTATCTTTGTTTTCTACTCTCCCTCACACCCAATTATTCAAACATTTACCAAGTAGAAGGCTCCATTATCCAAACCACACTAGGAAGTATACAGCTCTGGTTCCAAAGTTTTCTCAAATAGACTTTACTACCATTAGTATCTGGACTATTATAGAGCCTTCCAAATGACTTTTCTGGTTTTATTTACTCCTTACTGCCCACTCTCCACAAAACAACCAGAAAGAAGTAAATCATTTAAAATATGAAACCTGTTTCAGTACCCTGCCTAAAAATGCACTTACCAGCTGAATATGGTGGTGTATACCTAGAATCCTAGTACTTGGGAGGCTGAGGCAGGAGGATCACCATGAGTTTCAGCCCAGCCTGGTCTACATAAGTGAGTTCAAGGCAAGCCTGCACTACATAGTGAGATCCTGTCTCTAAATAATAAAAAATGTCCTCATCAACATTTAACTGAAATGTCATACCACAGATCTTAAGGATCTGAACTAGTACTGCCCAACAGAAGTACTTTACCTTCTTTTGAACCCTACTACTTGTTTTCTTGCACTTTACTTCAATTACATTGTAAAGCTTGCTGTTCTTCACCCCCCCCCCTCATTCCCTAATGTTCTCTGCATTTTTTGTTCCCTGTAAGTGGAATGCTTTTTGACACTAGATCTTCACACAATCATTTCCTCATTTAACTCGCTACTGAAATATCACCTCCCGTTCAGAGACCATCTCTGACTAAGAACAAACCACATTCTCTAACACTTTATATCTATCTCGTCTCACTAGCTTCATGGTCTGACAGTTTTCAAGCCTTGCTCCCTTCTTAATTCCTAAAGCTACAGACAATGCTTAGCATATGGTACGTAATCAAAATTTACCAAATGAATGAATATATGTAAGAGGATGGGGACATAATATTGTCCCCAAGTGGTGGTACATCCTGATAATCCAAGCAACCAGAAAGTTGAGGTGGAAAGCCTGCTCCAAGTCTGAGGCCAGCCTTGGGTACATACAGAGTTCAAGACAGCCTCAACTACACAGCACGACTGACTAAAAAAAACAAAAACCACTGAAAAAAGAAAAGAAAAAATGAATGAAACACAGAAGTAATAACATACGGAAATCCCCAAAATATCTCTTAGTGGGAGAATAGTTTAAAGTAAGGCATACATTATTTAACACTATAGAAGTGTTTAAAGAGTCATACATACACACATACAGTTCAGAGCTGGGGATGTTAAGTGGTAAAGCTTTACATGGTATGCTTGAGGCCCTGGGTTTTATGCCCAGCACCAGAAAGCAATGGATTGAAAATCTGTTTAGTTGACATCCCCTCCCCGTGCATAGTTCTTTTCTCATACCTGATAAAATAACACCAACACCCTACAGAAAAAGGTCTACGGAGCGGGGCTGGGGATTTAGCTCAGCAGCATAAGCGCCTGCCTTGCAAGCAGACAGTCATGAGTTCGATCCCTGGTACCGATAAAAGACAAAAAAAAAAAAAAGAAAAAAGAAAAAAGTCTAGGGAATATATATATATATTCTAAACAGTGTATTTGCAAAGGTAATAGAAATTAAAGACAAAAGTCAATAACATATTCAGCTTTAATTACAACAAGTTTGAATTTTTTCCAATGAGAATATGCTCATATATTAGTTTCCCAACTTAAAGTTAGTCAATAGTAAAAGAAAGCTGGACATGGTATGCAGGCTTATAATCCCAGCACTCAAGAGGCTGAGGCAAGAGGACTGCTGAAGGTTCTAAACCAGCCCGAACTACCGAGAAAATGTATCAACAAACACAAAAACACAGCCAACAAGAAAGGAAATATACAAAAATATATGAAGAACCTACCTCTGTGTATAAGCTATAGGTGATTGTTCTTTAGGGGTTTTTTTTGTTTTGTTTTGTTTTTTAAATGGGTACCGGGGATCAAACTCATGACCGCCTACTTGCAAGGCAGGTGCGTATGCTGCTGAGCTAAATCCCCGGCCCCTTGTTCATTAGTTTTTTAATTTCCCAGGTTTAATAGAACAGACTTACAAAAGAAATTTTTAAAAATTAAATAGAGCACTCAAGAACAGGTATTTAGTTCAACGGCCTATGTGCCTGCCTCGCAAGCACAAGGTCCTGAGTTTGATCTCCGGTTCCAAAAAAAAAAGCACTAAATGCACTATAGGCATGGTGGTACATGTCTATAGTCTTAGCACTTAGGAGGCTGAGTTAGGAGGATCACAGTGAGTTCAAGGCCAGCCTGGGCCACATAGTGAGTTCGCTGTGTAGTTACACAGTGAAATCTTGTCTTAAAAAAAAAAAAGACAAATCTAGAGGCTGGGGATTTAGCTCAGCAGCATAAGCGCCTGCCTTGCATGCAGGCGGTCATGAGTTCGATCCCTGGTACTGATAAAAAGGAAAAAGACAAATCTTAAATAATACATTTTTAAAAAACTATCCCACTCTCCATGATTACTATTCTTTAACCTAGATCTGTCACACACACCTGTAGTTCTAGTTATTTGGGAGTCTGAGACAGGAGGGTGTGTGTAAGACAGGAATTAGGTCTGGCCTAGGCAACACAGAGACATTCAGTAATTTACACTTTCCTTTTTTTTGTACTTAGGATGGAAATTAGGGCTTCTGACAGTTAGGCAGCTGCTCTACCACTAAGCCCCCATATCCTAAAATTTTTTTTTCAAGTCTTTCTTTTTAAATTTTAAAATTTAAGTCTACAAGAACTTAGAATATGATTGTTTTCTTTTCACAAAACTGTCACCCTGATAACAATACACAGTGTTGCCCCCTGACTGACATGTTTTGAAATTTTTAGGTTTTTCTTTTTCTCCTTGAAATAAAATAGATTTGGAAAACAAAAAAACTTGTCAACCCTGCAAATGGGTCAAAAAAATGTGTGAATATTTACATAAATGCTACATATTAAATAATATTTTATATTTACTAAAAATCAAATAATGGAAATAAAAAGTTGAAATAATGAAAAGTTTATTATTTGTATGTCTAAAGGAAATTAGGATCTGGGAGGTGAGGAAGGAAAATTACAAGTTCAAGTCCATTCTGGGGCAACTTAAGGGATACCTAATTTCATAATAAAAAACATAAAGAGAGACTGGAAATCTCCAAGTCCTAGGTTTAATCTACCACCAGCACCACAAAAAAAAAAAAAAAAAAAGGAAACATTTTAAACAAACAGATCAATGTATTAATTTCCTTACTATAGAACAATGCATAGGAATAGGGACACTAAAACATTATGCAATCCTAGATCTATTAAGTATCAAGAGTCAAAGCCAGGCATGGTGGCACATGCCTGTAATCTCAACATTCAGGAGGCTGAGGCAGGAAGATCACCATCAGTTAGGGGCCAGCCTAGGCTACATAGTAAGTTCAAGCCCAACCTAAAGTACACAGCAAGATCCTGTCTCCAAAACAAAACAAAACAAAACAAAGCATCAACAGTCAGCCAAAGATTTCTCAATGTCTTTCTGCCCCCACTTTGATGGAGGTTCTATGTATCGAACCATTAAAAGCACAAAGGTCAGCAGGTGTGGTGGTACATACCTGTAATCCTAGATATTCAGGAGGCTGAGGCAAGAGGTTTGAACGTTTGAGGTCCACCTTGGAAATCTATCAAAATCTGATTTCAAGAATAACATAAGGTTCAGGATATAGTTTAGTGGTACAGAGCTTGCCAAATAATCACAAAGTCCTTGAGTTTAATCCCCAGCATGGTCATGAAAAGGGTACAAAAGCTTTTCACTGAAACTAAAATAACTACCCTACTGTGTTCTTTCACTGTGGCTTGCTCTTTTCTGTAAAGTGTACCTATTTTTCTACTTTTACTTGGCCCAAATTCTTTCTACAGAGCCTATTGCTTTTCCTATCTTTAATAAAAACTTTGCTACCATAAGAAAAAAGTGGCATAACCAAAATAGCAACTGCAATTCTGTTAAGCGACTTGACATTACAAACTAAGAACTATGAGTACCGACTTTATGTATTGGAATTTCTACAAAAGTAACATTAAATGAAACAGATTTGAGTTTGTTTTGATAATAGTAATTAGAAACAATATAAAGTAAACCAATTCATATGTCAGACTACCTATGTCTGAAAACACAAATTTTAAATTTTTTATTTAATTTTGTTTTATTTTGGGACTGAGATGGTCTTGCTATGCAGCACAAGCTGGTCTTGAACTCACTATGTAGTTAGCCTCAAACTTGTGGTGATCCTTCTGTCTCAGCCTCCTGAGTGCTGGGACTACACCTGTGCATCATGATGCCTAGTACAAGTTTTTTTTTAACATCATAGAAAAATGTCTATTAAATGCTAAATAAAAAATAAAATACATCAGTGTCATATATTTAGAATTGTAAGTATTAAAAGCTCATATACTATATACAGATTGTTACTGTAGAATTTTCCACACCAGTAAAAATTTTAAAAAGTGGCTGGATGTGGCGGCACATACCTGTAATCCCAGCACTTGGCCAAGTAAGGCAGAAGGATGGCTAAAAGTTCCAGGCCAGCAGGGCCACACAGTTAGTTCAAGGGCAACCTGAACTGCATAGTAAAACCTTATCTCAAAAAGACCAAAAGAAAAGAAAAAAAGTGCATACTAGTAATAAGAATTCAGCTTAAAAATTATAATCTCATGAAATATTCATAAGCCAGTAGAACTTTTTTTCTTACATATCATAATTGCATCAGTAATATTTTTATCTATTAGGTTAACAAAAGTACTGACTTTAATACACTGCTGTTTCTAGTAAAGAAATAATAGAATCTTTCTTTTCACTGCCAATTTAATAGTGTATCAATACTAGAAATGCATCAATAACTTTTGACTCAGTAACAACACTTCTAGAAATGTTTTATGTACATTCTTACACATTTTTAAAATAAAGTATGCACAAGTTACTCAATGCACCATCATCTGTAGTACTGAAAGGTTGTTAATCTTAACTGTCTTTGTCAGGCATGTTGTCACATCTATAATCCCTAAACTCTAGCAGCAGACACAGGACTGAATTCAAAAGCCAACCTAGGACCAAGAATACCGCTCAGCAGCACAGAGACTGCCTGACAAGAACAAGATTGTAAATTTGATTCCTGGTACCCCTCCCCCAAAAGCCAACCTAGACTGTGCATATCAACAGTCTAACTGTCCATCAAGGAAGATTACTTAAATCGTATTTACAGAATATACAATGTACATGTATAGGCTACACAAATCCTTGTATATCTATACAACTTAAAAAGCTTAAAAAACAATTAGGCATGGTAAATGCACACCTATAACCCCAGCTACTCTAGGCTCAAGTAAAAGGATCACAAATTCAAGGTCAGCCTGGACAACTTAGCAAGACACTGTTGTTAAGGTCTGAGGAGGTAGCTAAGCAGTAGATGTCTCAGCTAGAATGTTCAAGGCTCTAAATTCAATCACCAGTAAAATATGCAGGTACACACTTGAGGGAGCTGTACTGCTATCTCCTAGATTAAAAAAAAGAAAAGGCAAGGAAACAATAAGATATGTTCTTTGTCTATTTTTCAAAGAAGCAAAATAATATATATTCATTTAATAGGGAAGTATCTGGTGAGAAAAAAGGGGGTAGCTAGAAAAAAACTTTTGTACTTTATAACCTCATACTTTTCCAAGTTTTTAACATACAAAGACAGTACCCATAAAAAGTTATTTTTAAAATGGATAAAATGTGAAATTATAAAGGAAGAGAAGCTGGGCGTGATTACTCATCATGCCTGTAATCCCAGCACTCAGGAGGCTGAGGCAGGAGGATTGTTGGGAGTTCAAGACCAGCTGGGCTACAAAGTGAGCTCAAGGTCAGCCTGAACTGCATAGTGAGACCCTGTCTCAAAAAGACAAGGAAAAAAAAAGGAAGAGAAAAATGAATAAAACAGTAAGAAATAACTGAAGATCATTTATGCTTAAGATATTTGTATTAGGTAAAAAAAGCAAGTCATCTAATAAGCAGTAATGACTATAAAATTCCATTTTCATTCTTACTAGTATTGAGGAAAAAAAACTCAGGAGTTACACCAAAACAATAATGATGATGATGATTTTTTAATTTCCAAATTCATTTCAAGGAGAAAAAGGAAAAAAAAGAAAAAAAACTAAAATTTTCAAAACACATCAATAAGGGGCAACAATGGTACACAAAGATTATTTTTGGATCATGGGTTTGAAAGTAATTTCTTATACATTATACCCTTATTTTTAGGAAAAAATATATTTTCAGATTACTAAAAAAAAAGAGAGAGAGAGAGAGATAGTTTGCCAATGATAAATACCCTTACAAGGATAATATCTAATATATGTACAAATGGAGAAAAAATTGATAATACTACTAGTGACAGTATTCAACTCATCTGGAAACTTAATATTGGAAATTCCTAAGTAGTTTAACTTTGAACCAATAAAATTCAACAACTGGGAAGCTACCATAAGGAACTAACAAAGTGGGCATAGTGGTATATTCTAGCACTCTGAGAAGGGGCAAGAAGATCACAGGTTCGAGCCCAGCCTGAGCAATTTAGCAAGACTCTACTTCAAAATTAAAAATTAACAAAAAGGGTTGGAGTAAAGCTCAGTGAAAGGACTTGCCTAGCAAGTAGAAGGCCCTGTGTTCAAATCTTACAGTGGAAGAAAAATTATAAAGAACTATCCTAAATTTAGAAAATCTTCATGTGTTTTTAGTGGCATATATACCATGTCGGAAGCAACCTACTACTCACTCGTATTACAAAAATCATTTAAATTATGGTTCTTGGTTCAACAAAATATCATACTAAAGCACCGCTGACAAGGGTTAATTTATAAATTGCTTTGCTAAAACTAATCACTGTGTGTGGTGGTGCAGGCCTGTTATCCCAACACTCAGGAGGCTGAGCCAGAAGGATTGCTACAAATTCGAGGCCAGCCTGGGCTCCATATTGAGTTCAAGGCCAGACTCAACTACATAGTGAGACTATGAGCCAAGTCAATCAATCAATTAATCAATCAAGGGTAGGTATGCTTGGTGGAGCACACCTACAATCCCTGCACTGAGGCAGGAGTAACCGAGTTTAAGGCCAGCCTGGACTACATGGCCAGACCCTACCTCAACCACCCTAAATATAAGATTAGCTGGATAAATAGCTCAATGGAACAGTACTTGCAGGTACAAGACGCTGAGCTCAACTCCCAGCAAAAGAGTAGGAGACAAAACAGTAGTACAAAAAACGTTTTCAATATAATAAAATCATGAATTGTCTAAAAACACATAGAATATAACTAAAGCTTTTGGACAGTCACCAGTAGGTGATCTGTTAGCCACAGCAAATTGTTTCTTTTTTCTTTTTTTGGTACTGGGGATTGAACTTGTGACCTTGTGCTTGCCAAGCAGGCACTTATGGCACTGAGCTAAATCCCTGGCTCATTTTGTTTTTTTAAGTCAGGGTCTCATGCTGGGGATCTGGCTCAGTGGCAAGTATGAGGTCCTGAGTTTAATTCCTGGTAGCAAAAAAAGAAAAAAAAGAAAGAAAAGAAAAGAGCCTCACTAAATAGCCCACACTGGCCTCAGACTTGCTGCCTATCTCAATCTCCTACGGGCTGGGATTACAGATGCCTACTATCATGCCCAGTAACTACAGATTGATTTGATCTGAATGATCTACAGTTAGATACACAAAATCCAGATTTGAATTTTCCTTGAAACAAAATTATAACACCTGGTATTGTGTGCAATTTTGGTATAGCAATAAGCATAGCCTGCTCCCATAAAATAAAGTATGTATATTCTGGTTTGACCTAGTTCTCACTACTACCTAGTAACTATTACCATTTGTCATCTCCTCTGACCTCATGAACTCATCTGGCTGATTTCACAAATCTGAGTATGTGACACTGCATTTGATCTACTTTTTTCATAATGAAAATACTGAGTTAATGAAATAGTCAACAAGCTCACTTAAAAAACTAGTTCATACAAGCTGGCATGACGGCCCACATCTATAATGTTCAAACCTGCCTGGGTAATATGGCAACTCTCAAAATAAAAAGGGCCCACAGTATAGCTCAGTGCAAAGGCCCTGGTTCCAATCTCCTGCTCCACAAAATAAGGAAACAGGTCATAAGAAAATGCACAAAATCCTAAAAGCAATTTTTTCATACTCTTATTTATTAACTTTTTTCTATGCAAACGATTATATTTAGCCTTTAATGTTTATCAGTCACTTTGTAGTAACATTTTATATTATTAAATGCAAAGATTTCTAAACTATAGCAAATACATTTCAAAAGTATCAGGTTCAACTTGTACAGAAAATAATTGCCATACCCTAAAATAAGCAGACTGAAGGATGCCTAGCAAGTGTACAAGGATACAGTAACCAATTATTAAATATGATAAATGACATAGTATTTGTAATTCAGCAAAAGGTAGTAACTTTGTTATATTCAAATAGTCATTTGAAAATTTCAATGGTCAGCACAGCACTCAGTCTTTAAAAGGCAGATAGTAAATTCTTTTCAACCACTAATACACTGAGCCTGCCACTTCTGACTCCCTTGTTTAATTCCTACATGTGTTTTAAGTTTCAGCTTTCAGAACATTACTCTGATTCTTTAAGGGTTAAAAGATTCTCCCTCACTGATTTTTTTTCCTTTTGTTGAAACAATGTCTCATTCTGTAGCCTAGGCTCAAAGTAACCATTCTCCTACTTGAGCCTTTCCAGTGCAAGGATTACCAGTGTGTATTTCCATACCTTAATTGAACTGGCTCCACATTGAATCTTTCAATCATAAACTTCTATACTAAGCACAGTGCCTGGTCCAGGACTATATCACCAGATTTTTGTTTGTTTGTTTAAAGCTTGTTAATGGAGCTAGGCGTTGTGGTGCATGCCTGCAAGCCCAGCACTTGGGTGGCTGAGGCAGGAAGATCGCAGTGAGTTTCAGGCTAGCCCAGGCTACAAAGTGAGTTTAACACCAGCCTAAAATGCACAGCAACACAGCAAAACCTTGTCTCAAAAAAGACAAAGAAGCAGCAGCTAGTTAATGAGAGCATAAGCTCTTTTCCAGAGTTTTCCCTGTCATATGTAGGGCTTCTCTCACGAGGTATTGCTAACATTTATCCCTTCAGCTTCTAAATTCTCTCAGAGCCTGCCAGTAATCACCCACCACTAAAACGAAGCTCATTTCCTAAATCTTTCTGTGGGGATGCATTCTATTGAGAAAGTGGTCTCTCTCTGGAACTCAGGGGCATTTACTACTGGGCTTCAACCCTAACATTTTTTTTTTTTTTTTTTTAAATTCTGAGACAAGGTCTTGCTAAATTGCTGATGCTGGCTTCAAACTTGGGATCCTTCTGTCTCAATTTCCTAAATCAGTAGGATTATAGGCATTTGCCATGGCATCTGGCAACAGGTGATTTTTTTTAAATGCAAAATTGCCACCTCTCAGTGTAGCCATATAAGCTAATTAATGATGTAGCAGATCTTTAAGATTACTTTTTCAAGGAAAGCAAGGAAAGATTACTTTTTCAATAACACAAGCCTCTTTGATATACTCCTGATATAGTTCACATAGATCAAAGGAGAAATGAGAATGGACTGCTTCAATAACAGTACATTTGGGGCTGGGGATTTAGCTTTGCGACATAAGCACCTGCCTTGCAAGCAGGCGGTCATGAGTTTGATCCTCGGTACCGATAAAAAAAAAAAAAAAAAAAAAAAAGTACACTTATGAAAACTAGATTGCTAATAAAATCAGTTAAAAAAAAGCGCTAGTATGGGGCTGGGGATTTAGCTCAGCGGCACAAGCACCTGCCTTGCAAGCAGGCGGTCGTGAGTTCGATCCCTGGTACCGATAAAAAGGAACAAAACAAAAAAAAAACAAAACAAAAAAAAAAAGCGCTAGTATTTGAGATGTCAGGAAGAGCAACTGTGGTCTTCAATTAATGTGATTTCCTTTATTATTTTTAATAGACAAAATCAATTGCAACAGCAACCTGTTTAGGTACTTGTAAAATTCTAAAATCTTCTGGAAAACTAGAGAAAATATATAATCTGCTAAATTCAATGTTAAATACAAACATTATACACATATACATTTATGATCTCAGGGATATAAAAATATAGTAGTTGGATGTGGTGCTGCATCCATGTTACTAAATCTAATCATTCTTACATCAAAAACTTCTCCATTTATAATACTGCAAAAAATGTCAAGATCCAAGTCTTGCCCTACAGAAATAAAAATATAGAATATGGCGTAAGAATATGGTAGTTGCATATACGTAAAACTAGGGGAAGATCACTGACATGTAAGCAAAATAAAAATGGAAGCTTAGAGCTAATACTAAAAATTCTTTACACACAACACTACAATGTAAAAGATTTGCAACAAGTGCTTCACTATAATTATGTGTCATTTCTTCTACAAATGCCGAGATATTTCAACACATTACTATACTACAAAGAAACATTGTTATGATTTTGTTGAAATATCCCACTGAGAAAGCAAGGTGGAGGGAGGACATGTATTTCCCAAAAGGGGCAACAATTTAGAGAAGTGCAGATAGTGTTATGATAACTAATAGAACTGAGAGTCCATCCTTCTACGGTATTATGAATGGCTACCAATTTTCTTTTGCTGTCTGACAGAAAATCAATTCCCAAAGATAGAGGAAAAAACGCTCCACCCAGGAAAACCAAATTGTCACTTAAAGATGATTTTATAATTTTAACAAACCAAAATATTTATTTTTCATAAACCAGTTGTGGTGACACACGCCTGTAATTGCAGCGCTCTAAGCTGAGGCAGGAGAATCCCCAAGGGCTCGAGGCCAGCCTGGTCTATACAGTGAGCTCGAGGCCAGCTGCACTATAAAGTGAGATCCTATTTAAAAAAACTAACGAAAAGCCCTAAATTATAAAGAAATTGGTAAGCAATGCCCAATGACCTCTGTTAAAGACAGAAATGTAAACTGTTATAAAAATAATTGCATCTCAAATAGTTGAAGGGCGGGTGGTTAAACAGGTAAAGTTTCAAGTTTATGAAAAACATGAAAGAGAAGCCGCCTCTTTTCTGAATCTTATGTGAGTTCAATATTTTAAAAATGTTCACTCCCATCTCCCCAAATGCTGTTACAAACTAGCAATTAATCACTATCTTCGGCCACAATATGGGAAAAACATAAACACACATATTTTTCGCCTTTTTGTTTAACTTCCAAAAGTTAGAAGGCCTTACAAATTTCCAAAACATCTAGTTGTTCCTGAGACGTATTTGTGATCACTAATGGAAAAATTTAGTGCTACACTGAATGTACCTTTGTGGAAAAATTCAATACACAAAATGGTCCTTTAATAACGTTTGCAGAACGAGTAGGTATTCTTCTTGCCAGTATAATAAAGACTTTGGGCCTTAAAAGGCCAAAGATAGGCCAAATTTGTTCACTTTTCTTTAAGGCATATGGAGCTCGGAAACCATCACCTTCCTGCTAGAGTATCGTCGTCCTACCAGGCCTGCGCCGCTCGCAGCTCCTCGAAAACGTGGGAAAACTTCGAAAGAGCTAAGGTAAGGCTTTGAACTTGACTTTTACAAGAATGTCTAACAATGTGCCCTATTACACTTAAGTATGCACGAAGGTAGCCGTCCTCTGAGAGGAAAAGGTCAGGTAGGAGAAAACTGTACTCAATTTTAATCCCTGCGATTCAGACTCTTCCCCGCCCTCTCTGACCCTAATTTGACAGCACCTTGGGTTGTGCCACCTCCTTTCCCACCAGCCATCCCAACCTCCCCCGCTGCAGTACTGTCTTACGATTCTGAAGCATCAAACATCGGCCTAGCTCCCCGGAGTTCAGGCCGCCGTCGCTGCCGCCATATTACAGCTTGTGCAGCAAAATGCGTCAGGGAGCGAGGTGCGCGCCCCAGTGGAGAGGGCGGGGGCTGGCGGAGGAAGAGCCGTTTCCTAGGCCCCGCAGGCTGGGCTGGAAGCCGCCTACAGATGCCTAAACAGTTCCTCGGGCCTCGGGGCCCCCTCTGGGCCCAAGCAGTCTATATACCTCGAGGGAAAGGCTGTTAACTCAAGCCGGCCATAGGCACCAGCTCCGCCCCTCCGCCCAGGCTCTTCCCGCTCTCGTACCGGGGCTGCAGCAAATGATGCCACCAAAACAACATGTTTCTCGCGCTACCAACCTGTGTCACTAGAATCTCCTCTTCTCCCGGCCTGGTCCTTCAAAGCGCTTCAAATCTACCGCCCTCAGAAAAGGCGCTAAAGCCCACTAACCGCCTCCCTCCCCCACACCCCAGTCCCGGCGTGGAGGGAAAGCGTCGCGCCGGAAATGCGTCACGGATTCGTGGATGGCGTCTCTCAGCCTTCCGGGTTTGTGTCACCACGCCCTCCTTGGAATTGTAGGATTTAGTGTCCTAATGTTTTTTGTGAGTTGACCGATTTCTTTGTCGCCATCTGAATGCCATATCGTGCCTGGTATGAGGTAGGAGAATCTCAAATTCTAACCGAGCCTGGACAATTTGGAGAGATCCTGACGATCAGTCAGTATATCGTTCCTGAAATAAAGTACTTCATAACATGTACTGATGCGCTGTTTAGGGTGTTTTGAAGGACCGTCTACTAGAAGACGCTTGCAATTTCAGTTTTTATAGTAAGCTCTACAACACAAAGTCTAAAAACCAGTAATCAATAAAGTTCTCTTTGAGAAAAGAATTACAAAAGGCATTAATGTTTGTTACTGTTCTCACGCTATATAGATTATATTTAGTACTGTATGTTGAAATTTAACTGGTCTGTGAAATCTCAAACATTCCCAAATTGATTTGACATGGGTGTATTGTCAAGAAAGATGCTGTCCCAGTAACAGGAAATAGTGTAATATCCAAAAATACTATGGCTTTAAAGGATGTGTTTCTTATGGAGATCTTAGAAGACTGGGACAATTGAAAGGGCATCTCTGATCAGGTAGTTATTTAGGGACTTGGATTCTTTCCATTATGTTATTTCATCATGCCCCAGGGTCTTGTCATTGAATGATGACTGTGTTGCTTTAGTTTTCAGCTGGCAGGAACAGAAAGTAAGGGGCAGTGTCTCAAGACCTAAACCCAGAAGTAGCTCATGCCACTTTGGCTGTCATTCCATTGATAAGAAAGACTAACTCACAAAAGCAATCACAAATGCAAAGTTCTGGTTGCTTAGCATGTACGAAGAAAACATAAAGGTATTTCAGTGGAAGATTAACAGGATCCCATTAATAAATAGATATTTGCACAAAAAAACATTTTTATGGTCATCAAATCCTGGTTTTTCAAATGGTGGTTTAAGAGCCTTTTTTTTTTTTTTTTTTTTTTGGTACCGGGGATTGAACTCACAACTGTAGGCTTGCAATAAGGTGCTTTTGCTGCTCAGCTAAACCCCCAGCCCTTAAGAGCCTTTTTAAACGTAAGTTTTTGTTTTTTTGAGACAGGATCTCCCTCTACAGTTCGGGCTGGCCTTGAACTCACTAGCTCAGCCTGGCCTAGAAATTGTGGCAGTCACCCTCCTGAGTGCTGGGCTTACAGGCATGCACCACCATGCCTAATTTAATCTGTATGGATAAGTCATGAGCATAGTTCAATACATTTTTACTAAGTGAACATACAGATTGAAGCTCTGCTAGATTAAGACATACAGCAAAACCAGTATCAACATTCCAGAGGCCTTCTTTATGTTCCCTCCTACGAATGCCACTACCCCATTCCCACCCCCACTAAAGATAACTGTTCAAATTTTCAGCTGCAGTGCATATTAGATTATTGACTGATTTTGCTTTACTGTGGAACTGAATCCAGGGGTCCTCTCCCACTGAGTTATATACCTAGTCCTTTTATATCCTATTTTGAGGCAGGTTATCCTAAAATTTTCATGCTAGCCTATGACTTTCAATCCTTATGCCTAGAGGTGTGAGTTTTGCCCAGTTTTGAGCCTGGTTTTGCTGTTACTGTTTTGAGATGGGATCTCACTATGTATCCCAAACTGGCCTTGAACTCTTAGTGATCCTCCTACTTCAGCCTCCTCAGTGCTGGGATTATGGGTGCCACTACACCTGGCTTTGAACCTTATATAAATGGATTTATGTGTCTGTACTGTTGCTTTCAGGAAATTTGTTGTTTTTATGGTGCTGGAGATCGAACTTAGAACCTATGCATCCTATGTAAACCACTTCACCAGCCCTTTACTTTTTTTTTTTTTTTTTGTGACTGGATGTGCTGTGCTTGCTTGAGCAGACTAACATCATCTGGTAGTTGGTATGCAAGCCATTAAAGAATTTTATCTTTACAATTTTGTTTCTTTAGAGCCGTTCCTGGTACCAAAGTCTGTGTCAGCCAGTGCTTACTAGAGAAACAGATATAACTGGGTGTGGTAGTACATGCCTGCAATCCCAGCACTCAGGAGGCTAAGCCAAGAGGACTGCTGCAAGTTTAAGTCCACTTTGGGCTACATACTGAACTCAAGGATATGCAGGACTACAGAGCGAGACCATGTCTCAAAAAAAAAGAAAAAGACTTAATGAAAGATATACAAATATGTAAGAATTTACAAGACTGGCATACAGTGGACTCCAGAGAGGCAGGTGTGGAAGAATGCAAAAGTTTCTGTGCACACTAGAGATCCAAAGGATCCAGTTGGAGCTCAGTGTATTATCACATGCAATATTACACTGTGTCAGGAGGCCAGCGGGTCTGTGTTGGCTGCTGAAGAGTCTGCACTGCAAGCCACAAGACAAAGTCCAAATTGAAAGCAAAGACTAGAACTCCTCTAAAGAAACAGAAGCAATCCTTTCGTTTCCGTTTTATACCATTCTGGTGATAATTCTCACTAGGGAGAGAGTCTTCTACACCCAGAACTCTGCTGAGCCAATTTAGTTGGGCTTTTTTTTTTTTTTTTTTTTGACTAAAACTGACACAATCAGTTGACTATCACACTGGCTCTGAATTTGTGATCCTCTTGCTTCAACCTCCCAAGTAGCTGGGATTGCAGTCCTATACCACCACTCCAGTTCTTTAGGTTTTTAATTATGAATTAAGCTTCCATGAATTTTTTTGTCTTTTTGACACAGGGTCTCTCTGTGCAGTTCAGGGTGGCCTTGAGCTCGCTTTGTAGCCTACGCTGGTCTCAAACTCGAAATGATCCTCCTGCCTCAGGCTCCCGAATGCTAGGATTACAGGTGTGAGCTACCATGCCCAGCTTCCATGAACTTTCTTAACCTACTGTATTGGAGCACAAATATTTTGCACACATGTTGGAGATACATAATACAACAAGAATGGAATTGCTAGAGCTTAACGTCTGGCTAGGTTCAGCTTTGGTAGATGCTACCCAAGAGTTTTCCAACGTGATTATCAATTTATACTCTTGTTGTACATATCTTCTGATGACAGTATTAGTGAGAGATCTCATTTCCAAATAAACAAAACCCAGCTTCAATCAGCCTAGGTAAAAGGGATATATTGCTTCATAAGCAAAAACTGATAATGTGATGGCTTGAAAATATGCCCATGAATTCACTTTTTTAAGTGCTAGAGAACCCAGGGTCTTACATGTGCTAAGGAAAGTCTCTACTTATTGAGCTATATCCCCTGCCCACAAATGCTTTGTTATGGCCTGCTTCTAATGTCTGGAATGAGGCAGAAGTGACAGTATTATTTCAGAGATTAGGTCATAAAGGACACTTATTTCTACTCTTTTTTTTTTTTTTTTTTTTTGTCTTTTTCATTGTTATCGGTACCGGGGATTGAACTCAGGACTGCCTGCTTGCAAGGCAGGTGCTTATGCCACTGAGCTAAATCCCCAGCCCCAAGGACACTTATTTCTGTGTTATTGTCTCTTGGGTTACTAAATGAGAGGAAGTAATCTGCCATGTTGTGAGGACATTCAAAAGGAATCTTGAAAAAGCCAGAGAGGAAGAGAGGCTTCCAGCCAACAGCCATGTAAACAAGTTATGTTGGAAACAGATCCTCCAGCCTCAATTAAGGTTGAAGTACCTGTAGGCATGACTGCAATCAAGTGAGAAATTGAGAATGGCCATTATTAAGAAATCAATAGTAACAAATGCTAGTGAGGCTATAGGGAAAAGAACCCTTCAGCATTGTTATAAGAGTATAAACTGGTATAATCATTGTGGAAATCAGTGTAAAGATTCCTCAGAAAACTAAAACTAGAAATTCCATTTGATCAGGTTATTTCCCTTCTAGGAATGTTCCCAAAAATGTTAATGACCTCATATTGCAGTGATACATGCATGCCCATGTTTATAGTAGCACAGATCATAATAGTTAAATCTTGGAAGCAGTCTGTATGTCCCTTGACAGATGAATTGATAAAGAAAATGTGGTGTTCATACACAATGGGGTACTATTCTGTCATAAGAAAGATATACTTGGGTCATTTGTAGGAAAAAAATGAATGTACCTTGAGACCAAAGGTTAACTGAAATAAACCAGACATACAAGCTTAAATATCTCTTTTTTTAAAGGGTCAGGGGTTTATTTTGGCTCATAGTTTATAGAGGCCACATGGTTTCTTCTATCTGAGAAAGAACAAAACAAAGACAATAGGTATGGATTTTCTTTTTATTCTTAATTTTTTGAGACTGTCTCACTATGTAGTTCAGGCTGGCCTTGAACTTGCTACGTAGCCCAGGGTAGCATCAAACTCCTGACAGTCTTCTTGCATCAGCCACCCAAGTGCTAGCATGACACCACTCCCAGCATGAAAGATAATAGGAAGTAGAGAAACAGGTATTTTTCAAATGGAAAGGGATCAAGAGATAGAGGAAGGAGGGGTAGGGAATAAAAACAGGAACTAAAATTTATTATGTACATGTACCAACTCTAGAAAAGGAATGTAAATATTATATATTGCAAACATATACTAACAAAAAAATTTTAAACACAATAAAATTCACAGGAACAAAAACCAAAAGAAAAAACTGAGTTGGGCATGATGGTACACAATTGTAATCCTAGCACTCAGGAAGCTGAGGCAGGAGGATTGCTACAAGTTTGAGGCCAGTCTGGGGTACACAGTAAGTTCAAGGCCAGTCTGAATTACAGAGTTGAGATTCTGCTCAAAAACAAAACAAAACAAACAGAAAACAGAACAAGAAACAAAAATTGAGCCAAGATCATTCAATTAAGCTAATTCCTAATTTCTGACTCATGAAATTATGGAAGAAATGTTTAAAGTCACTAAGTTTTAGATGACTTATTAAAAAAAAATGGATAACTGATACAGAAAATAATAATGTTATAGAATCTCTTTCCTAATCCTACTTAGCTTTTTTTTCCCCAGATTTATTTATCTAAGCATAATTCACATCTTAAGAATCTGAGCTCAGAGCACTGTCTCCTGAGATCTGCGCCATGATGGAACTTCGGACTCTGGGAAGCCAAGCAAGCACCTCCCTTCCCTGGTAAGCGGAGACAGGGTGGCAGACTGTAGCCCTTCCAGGGAGAGAACCAGCAGTGTCTCCTGAGATCCGTGCCATGTTGGAACTGAAGACGCTGTGAAAGCAAATGATCATCCTGCCTCCCTGCTTAGCAATAGTGAACCTACTGCTACATGGCCTAGAGTCAAATATCCCACTTCCCTGATCCTCCTTCTTCTCCCCCCCCCCCCCCACCGCCCATTAGCAAATGGAAACCAGAAATCTGAGCATCGCCTGGGAGGTTGACCATAACAAATTAGGGGGACTTCCTTCTACCATTTCTTTGAAGGCAAATATTTTTATTACTGTTTTGCTCTTTTCTGATTAATGGTACTGTTCTATTCAATATTCTGTTTTGATAAGTTCTATAGTGTTCTATATTTCATCTCATTTTGATATACATGATTGAAAGAACAGCTATTATAAAGATAACAAAATATACTATGATACCTATTACTGTTATCCCGGTAACCTGCTGTGAAATTCTGTACCAATTTCATTGTACGATCTTAGTTGGCTTTATTCTGACTTGTTCTGTTGTATACTTTCAAAAAAAAAAAAACGTATAAAAACAACAACAACAACAGAAAGAATCTGAGCCCAGGTTGGAGATCAATCGCTCAGTGGCAGAGTTCTTGCCTAGCTTGGGTTCAAAGCCCTGGGGTCAATAAGGCACCACAGTAAATAAAATGTCAACCAGGTGACGAGTACACCAGTCATCCCAGTGCTTAGTAAGCTGAGGCAGGATGATCACTGTGAGTTTGAGGCCAGCCTGGTCTATGAAGTGAGTTTAAGGCTAGTCTGAAAAAAAAAATTAAAATGTCAAAACATTATTTGATTGGCATAGCAATGGCAGCCCAGAAATTTGTGCTCCTACTTACATTGAGAGGATGTCATTGGGAAATGTTCCTCTGGCTAAGAATGGTTTTCTAGCTAACTTCTTTTTTTTTTTTTTTTTTTTGTCTTTTTTTTCGGTACCAGGGATCGAACTCACAACTGCCTGCTTGCAAGGCAGGCACTTATGCCACTGAGCTAAATCTCCAGCCCCTCTAGCAAACTTCTTGCATCTAAGTAAGGATATATAAATGCTTCTGGTGAGTGGAAAATGAATGGAAATGCTGTGAATTACATGGAGGTAGGAATGTTTATAAAGTGTGCTGTGTCTTTTTTTGTCAACTGGATCAACATGAAGAAAAATTTGGGCTTTCAGTGATTTTTGGCGGGGGAAGAGTACTGGGTGGAAACAACCCCAGGGCCTTTATACTTCTTTTTAATTTGCATAAAAGTTGTCACTGAGCCACTAATTTGCCCCAGCTGAGCTCCAACTTTGTTTCCCCTGCCTCAGCCTTCCAGAGCCTTGGATTACAGATGTATGCTGGATTCAGAGGTTTTTAAGGCCTGAACAATTATGGAAGAAGCCTATGTCTTTGTCTGTATAATGTTGCTATCAACATACTACCATACACTGGTAAATTTGTCAAAGAAAAGTTTATTTTGGCTCATTTGGCTCATTTGGCTTATTTGAAAGTGCAAAGTACAGGGGCCATGTATGTTGCCAAGAGTACAAAGTGATGCAGGTTATCCTATGGTGACAGATAAAGAGTTTATGTGTATCTGCCTGGCATCCTGTTTAAATGTCACTTATAGTTAATGGGCTGAAGAAGGTAGCTCAATGAAGAGCACTTGCTTAGCATGCACAAGGCCCTAGGTTCAATCCCAGTACCTCAGAACAAAGGAAAAAAGAAAACAAAACATACAACAAAAAGAAAAAAAATAATGTCCCCAGTACACATTCATGAGGCTTCAACCTGATATAGTATCTTTATATTAATCATTTCTTAAAGAAAAATGTCTAATAGAGGAATGGCTGGGTAATTTATGGCCTACCTATACTATGAAATAGTATTTAGTGTATTGGCAGATTTATCTATTGCACTTGGTTAGCGTTGTTATGTATTCTATAAAGTTAAGTTTACTCAACAATAAATCTGCAGAAGTTTGGAAAAAGATTATTTTGGTAGCATAAAAATGCCAATGAATTTTTATGTAAACAAAAGCAATCTGCAAAGTAATATGTCTGTGCTAGTCTCTTTTTTTGTCTAAGAAAGAAAGGAAGGGACAGTAAGGTTAATAAGAATTTTTAGTGGTAATACATATAGGAATTTGATATATCAAGGGAATGGAATTGGAAGGTGTTCTGGCTTATATCTAGATGTCCCCTAAAGCTTTATATGCTTATAGGTGAGGCTTTTGGAAGTGCCTGGATTGTAGGTGCATGATACTGTATTAGCCCACTGGTACTGCATAAACCCAATTGGTTTAGCATGGTTCTGTATGTGGATAATGAATGTAGTGAAGAGGGAAGATACATTCTGGATGTGGGTGGCACACCCACTGCAGCTTGAGTGGAATAAAAAGAGAACAGGAAGGCTCACTGCTTCCTGTCTATGCCATGACCTGTTTCTTCTCTGACATGCCACCTGCCTTGAAGCCAGCCTCACTGTGGACTAAAACCTCTACAAATTGTGAGCTGAAATAAAACTTTCCACCTCTAACTTGTGGGTGTCAGGTATTTTGTTACAGCAATGAGAAAGTAAGGCAGAAGATGTATTAGCTTTTCCCTTACTGGAACACAATACAAAGATACTCCACACTATGCATTCATGAGAGACACCTTGACAACCATTTGATGCTAATCACTTCCAAAGGTTTCTCTCCTAAACACCTAAGTCAGAGTAAGTTTCTGTAATATGAATTTTGGAGGAAACAACCTGTATTCAAACCAGAATCTCTGTGTGGAGTTTTCTTCACTGGCCAGGTGTATCTACACTGGAATACCGCGTGGCAGGTAAGTCCAGTGCTATGAGTTAAAAACACTGATGTTTGGCTTTACTCAAGTAGATAGCACTACCCATCTAAAAACCTATGGACTTGCAGTACTAGATTTGGCCTGGCCCAGATCATTGTAGTCCTTATAGTATGAGGAAGGAATCTGGAACCAAAGAAGAGATATAGGTGGGCAGGGTGCTCCAGTTAACCTTTAGTTTAAAATAATGAACTTTTTTTTTTTTTAGCGACAGGGTCTTGCTATGCAGTCCAGATTGGCCTTCAACTCACAGTGATTCTCCTGTCTCAGCTTCTTGAGTGCTAGTATTACAGGCATGTACCACCACACCCAGGTCATTTTTTTTTTGTTTTACTTCTCCCCACTATTCAACAAACTATTATTTGTACCAGTTGTCTACCTTATCACCCATAGTATGGTTAACTTTTTTTAAAAATGCATCTTTTATATTTTTTTATAATAGTATGAACTATTGCAAAAATTTGTTTTGTTTGAGACAAGTTCATATTGTGTTGTTCAGGCTGATCTTGGACTTTGTGGGACCAACTGATCCTCCTACTTCAGCATTCCAAGAAGTGAAGGCTGATAGTAAAAGTCTGAGCATTCTATAATTGCCACTAATTTCTTCTGTGATGGTTGACTGGCTTGCAACTTGATTGACTTGGAAACCACCAAGGGGATTAGTAAAGCATACTTTGGAGTAGGCATGGTGCGTCGTGGAAGTATGAGAGTCTGTCTCCAGGACCTTACCCCTTCCTCTCTGGCACTGTTCCTCTGCTGTGCTTCCTGACTGCCATGAACTGAGAATGTTTGCTCTGCCACATTCTTCTGCCATGATGTTTCTGTCTTGGAGCCAGCCAACCATAGACTGAAACTCTAAGACAAAATAAATTTGTCTTCCTTTAAGTTGTGGCTTTTGTGGGCCAACAAGAGGAAAGCTAACATACCTTCAAATTCCATTCTCTTGAGATTCCAAATACCCATATGTATTACCATTAAAAATTCTTGTTTAATATCCCTCTTTTCCTCCCTCTGTTTCTTCCTTTCTCAGACAAAAAATAAGGCTATATCACACAACTTGTCCTGCAATTTGCTTTTATTCATATAAAAATGTAATTGACATCTTTGTTACTATCCAAATACCATTTCATATAGATATAATTTATCCAGTCATTATCCTAGAAAGCATTTTAGTTATTTCAAGTTTGAGTTACTACACAGAAACCATAATAAATATCATTTTCCATATATCCTTACATTGATGTTTATAAATTAGCCAGGAGTGAGGTTATTGGATCACATACACTGTTAGTTTTCAAAGACCAGGGGTTAGTACCATTTTGGCAGAGCTTTTCTTTGTCACCGTCTGTATCAGTCAGTGTTTTACTAGAGAAACAGATATAACACAAATATATAAATGTATACGAATTTACAGGATCTGTTTACTATGGTCACCCACAGAGTCAGATGAGGAAGTGTGCAGGGGGTGCCAGTCCAGTCTGGAGTTCACTGCAGTGTCCCATACTAGTCTGGACCAGGAGGCTGATGGGTCTGTGATAGAAGGCTAAAGAGTCTACGGTGGGAGGCTAAAGGTTTTGTAGCAGAAGCCAAAGAATCTGTTGTAGATTACAACGGAAGCCCGACGGTCTGTGGTGGAAGGCAGAGGGTGGTATCCAAACTGAAGAGTAGAAGCAGCAGTGTCCTTCCTAATTTCCTCTATGCCATCCAGGTGACAAGCTGCCTGGAGTGTAGAATTGCTGAGTCAATTAATTAACTTCCCTTAACTAAAGTTCTCAAGTTGACACCATCATTCAAGCATTATACCATCCTTATCTTTGTTGTCCCCTAACCACCAAGGTTGTGTTGTCTCTAGGGTCCCATTCCTTAGCCTTCCATGGCCATTGGTCTCCCATGGCCATTAAGTTTCCCTAAACATTTCCCCACATATATATTATGAGGTGATATTTAATGAAAGAGCTATGCTTCCCATAATTCCCTCAGAAGGTTACAAGAAACTTGTGGGATCTAAGGCAATAACCGAGTCTACTGCTTGTTTTTTGTTTGTTTGTTTTTTGTCTTTTTTGAGATGGGGTCTTGCTATGCAGTTCAGGCTGGCCTTGAGCTCACTTTGTAGCCCAGACTGGTCTCGAACTCACAACAATCCTCCTGCCTCAACCTCCTGAGTGCTGGGATTACAGGCGCGAGTCTTCACGCCCCGGCATGTCTACTGCTTGTTAAAGGAGTGGAACACCTGGAAACTGGATGCATGTGGGATGCAGGCCCATTTCTTGAGGAAGTCAGTCACCTCAGGGTCTTTCACTGGCCATTAACACAGAGTCTATATCCTCTGCCTGTTTTCTATTTAGGGTCTTCAGGATTGTTGATGCCGAGTTTGAGTGACTTATATTCCCCTGTAGGGCAGCCCAGGAGGGGAATGCCTTTCTCCAAGGTCCCTGAGGTGACACAGGACCAGTAGGAACAGAACTTTTATATATGGAACTACACTCATGCCACATCAGTGTCTCCTAGTACATATATTTATCCTCACAGGTATATCGTCTTTCCACCATTAAGTTCTTATATGAAAAGTCATACATGGGATTCCAAGAAGCAAAGCTAAGGGCCTTGCATGTATCAAAGGTCAGGACTGCCACAGGATTCTGTGCTAGTTGTTTTCTTTGACTTATGAGTGGTGTTCGAACTGCCAAATCGTAGGTGGTCTGGGGTCAAAACACAAGGGTTCAAAGTTGTGTCCTAAGTCACAGAACTCTGCTCAACTGTGGTGAATCCATGTGGGAATTCTTTCCACTCTAACTGCTGGGGAGGGTTGTCAGAATATCTATTAGTGGTCCCTTCCACTCTGGCTTAAGACTCTCCTGATGCCAGGCCTTTATCCACACTGGATCTCCAGGAGAAAAGGGCTGTAGAGCGTTTGATGTGCTAATGCGGGTTTATTCTCTCTAATGTCCAGGCATTGGACATTTCTCTAAAGATTCCTCCATTACTCTTACTGGGTGTGCTAACCCTTCAGGACAGGAGGAAGCCTGCAGTACAGGGTCTCATAAGGGGAATATCTGGTATTCTTATGATGGATGCATCATGCCTGGAGGAGCACAATTAGCAAAGCTTGGACCAGTCCTTGGCAAAGTTTTTCTAGCCCTGTCTTTAAGGTCCTATTCATCTTCTTTACCTTTCCTGAGCTCTAAGGCTGGTAGGTCACATGCAGGTTTCAATTAATTCCCAATGATCATGCCACTCCCTGAATTACTGATGTCACAAAGCTAAGTCCATCATCAGACCCCATTGCTGAAGGAGACCATAGTGGGGAATGATCTCTTGGAGCAGCCATTGTGTCGCTTCGTGAGTCTTTTCCATTTGGCAAGGGAAAGCCTCTCTCCTGTTGGAATAGGTGCAGATTATGACCAAGAAGTAATGGAAGCCCCCACATTTGGGATATATGGTGAAAATTGACCTGTTTTCAAATGATGCAGATCCCACTCTCTGGATCATTGCTGGGATCCCCAGGCCCACTTTAGGGTTATGTTGAGTGCAAGTGACACAACATTGGACAGTCTATTTTGTCTGGACTGTCTTAGGGGGATGTAGAACTGGGCAAGCAGGATTCCTAGTTTTTCTCTTCCTAAGTGTGTGGTCTCATAAGCTGCCTGTGCTAGTGGGCTGGCACTACAACTGTCCAGGAGCCTATACCATCTGTTTGCCCCCTTGGTTCCTTTTTTGAGTTCCATCCATTGGATCTGTTCCAGCGTGTACCTTGGTTTTTATCTGTCTCCCAAGGGATGGTAGCAAGAAGTGTGGCATTTGGCCTCATGCTAGCAGTCTTTGCCACCCAGTCAGCTCTCTCATTTCCCATTTGCACATTAGACTTCTTTTTTTGATGTCTTTGACAGTGAACAACAGCAACTTCTCTGGGAACCCAGATTGCTTTTAGAAGCCAAAGGATGTCTTGGGAGTACTTGATTTCTTTGCACCCCACAGAAAGCCGGCCTCTTTCCCTATACAGGGCCTTATGTACTTGTAAGGTTAGGAAGGCATTTTTAAGAGTCAGTGTAAACGTTCAGTATTTTTCCCTTTCCTAATTCCAATGCTCGGGTTAGGGTGATCAATTCTGCTTTTTATGCTAAGGTTCCCTGTGGCAATGGTTCGGATTCTATGACTTCTTTTAGGGTAATGACTGCATATCCAGCCTGTTGCCTTCCTGTCTCCACCACGTGGCTGCTCCCATCCACAAACAGTTGTATATCAGGCTGCTGGACAGGCTGGTCATGTAAGTCCGGTTGCCTGGAACAGACCAGCTCTATGACCTCCTCACAATTATGTAGCGGTCCTTCTGGTTGGGGAAGGAAGGTGGTGGGGTTTGGGTTGTTGGAAACCTCTATTGGATGTGGGGGTTCCCACAGAGTACACTCCAGTACTGAAGTATGAGTTGGTGAGCTGTGGTGACCTTTAGCAATTCATAAAAGCAATTACTGCATGTGGGACTTGTACCTGCAAGTCTTGGCCCAGGTTAGCTTGTTGGCCTCTTTTGATCAAAAGCCCCCATATTTGCGGTATTTGGTGAAAATTGACCTGTCTTCAAATGATACAGATCTCATTCTCTGGACCCTTGCTGGGATGCAGCAAGAGCTCTCAATCAAGGGAGCCAGCCTTATGCAACTCTATCCAGTTGTTTAGACAGTTGGCCACTGGTCT